CAGGGGACCCACATTTCGTTACATAATTACTCAATATGATTGAAAAATATTCGGGGAAAAGGGGACAGGATTGTAGTTACGACAATTGAAACATATCCGTCGTCATCTGTGAAACAGATAATCCATAACGGTCAACCAACTCGTGATGGCGTCCGTAAAATTTACGAAGGGATGATTTCAACTTCAACACTTGGAACTCTTGGTTTAGAAGCTTCCTTCTATCAAGGAAATCATAATAGGAAATACAAGCCCTGGAATATCGTATCAACTTGGACAAATATAAAATATCTAGGTCTCCTACCCCATGAAAAAAAAGCCTTATATAAATAGTTCACTATGTTGATGCTGCCGGAGGATAAGCATCCATATTGCAAGTATTTTGACACTTTCGTCACAGGAGAGACAAAAATGCAAAGATCACAATGGCAAAATCGAAATCATCACGTTTGTCGTAAATTTTATTTGTCAATTTACACTATCTGCCAATCTGTATATGAAAGCTAAACAGTAGTGTATCTGTATCTGTGTTATCTAGTGTCTCATGTTCAGTGTAAAAGATTCCATAAAGTGTCCTTTTAATGTTTTTGGCTCTTCAAATCAACGATTCTTGACATAAATGCCAATCTTTATTTATTCGATTCAACTATACTAAATAAGACGCTTTCTGAAGTTGTGTATCGTTACGGCAATCCGCGTATCCCGAAAAGACGTCAGAACAAAGTAAAACGGGGCGTTATCATATTAATTTTACTCGAAAAATGGACACAGGTCAAGTGAATTTTGTTAGAGAGACATGTACTCCCTCTTATCTTTCTGTACACATTTTTATATGTAAAATATACTTTATGTTAACAAAGGACGTAAAGTATCTAAGGAACTGATCATCTCATAAAAAACAACATTTTGAACAAGAAAACTTTAAAATTAGGTCAGATGAACCCTGTCAGATAAACATTTACCCCTGATAATCATTTAATTATTTTCCCCAAATAAGGATGGCCTATTATTTCGAGTATCAAAGCACAAAAATTTAACTTTAATGGACCTTGAAAGTGAGGTCAATCGCAGCTCAACTTTGTCAGATAGATATGTATCTCGTAATACCTACTATTTTATGACTGTTTTGTTCAATTTGTATTCATTTTATTCAACATTTACAACATAAGCACAAATTGAAGATATAATTGAACTGCCACTAGAAGTCTCAAAGAACATGACCTATATAATCACAAAAACTGTATGTTGGTTATTCTTTATCCGTTGCTGGTGAACTGCTATCATCAGCCCAGAAGTCGTTGCTATGGTAATGACATGATTTATAACATACCTTTATTAAATTGGTTAATTTAGAAATTATTTAAAAACTATAGGTACCAACTCCTAAGTTGGACTTTGATGAATTTTACTATTTTTTTATTACTTTTGAACATATAGTTGAGCTTGAGGTAAATAGTGTTTATCATCCCTGGTTTTCATATATTTGGGTTTTAGCGTTTCTTGTAAAGGTAAATTAAGAAAAGTGCTTCAGAATAACTAGCATCCTCAGAGTCTTTCCTCTTGCAATAGTATAAAAACATTTGACTTCTCTACCCTTTACACTAGTATACCTCGTTGTTAACGTAAAGACACATTGAAAGAAATAGTCTTACTTTGTTTCATAAAAAATTGCTAGCATACTTACAAATATCTTTATTAAGGAACGAATAAATCATACTTTCTAAAAAAAAAACCACTCTGCATCAAACACAAAATTCTCTGAAACTGACATCATCAAGATGCTTGATTATTTGATTGATAACATATTTGATACTTTCGTAACGTGTTTTTCAACAAACAATTCACTGAATGAGAGACTTATCAGATTTATACAACACGGCGGATGCCATATGTGGAGCAGAAACTGCTTACCCTTCCTGAGCCCCCGAGTTTACTCCGGTTTTTGAAGGGCTTCGTGTTGCTCAGTGTTTAGTTTGTTATGTGGTGTTTTTTCGTCGTTTTTCGTTTTTTGCCATGACAATGTCAGTTTTCTTCAACTTCTTTTTTACTTTGTCTGAGAAACGGATTAAATCATAAGAACTCAACGTTGGTCAATGAAAGGTGAAAATGATGTCAAATCAAAAGAATCCTGTAACACAAGCCTTACACCTACAATCATTCTTAATATTATAAGAGTTTACCAGTATACTTAAAGTAGCAAAGCACTAAACTCAACGTTGATCTTGAAAATGAGGTTAACTGCTAATAACAGTTTTTTCTTATGTTGTGCTGTTAAACCACTGTCCAAGGTCAGGGGCGGGTTGAGCACTCACAAACAGGTTTAACACCACCACATTCATTATATGCCTGTCCCAAATCAGGAGCCTGTAGGTCAGTGGTTGTCATTGGTTCATGTCTGTCATAAATTAGACATAAAAGAATAAGACGTGGTATATTTGCCAGTGAGACAATTATCCACCAAAATTCAAATGCAGTGGATGTAAGGAATCATAGGTAACCGTACTGTTCTTTTGGCCGTAAATGGCAATATTTATGATTAACAAAAACAGCAGCGTGACCGACATGAACCAACAACAACCACTGAACTACAGGCTCCTGACTTGGAACAGACACATAAAGAATGTGGCGGAGTTACATATAATAATAATAAGACGTCATAAACAGTCTGAGAAAAACATGACCTTCAAGTACAATGCTAAAATATAAGTATCGACATGATTTAGGATCATACTTGTTCATAATTGTATATATTAAGGAATACATAAAGACTACTTTACGTAGATGTATCCCGCTTAGATACCATTTCTCCACATTCAATAGGTGAATTTTTAAATTGATTATTGATAGCAGACCAATGATGTTTTATATGGAAAGGACTATCCGCCATAATTATACATTTCTCAATTTGTAAAAAAATGCAATTTTTTAATTTGTAACATGCAATTTCCTTATTAGTTAAATGTAATTTCTTAATTTGTAATATGTATTTTTTCCATCCGTTACATGAATTTCTACATGTCTTGATTTGTGAAATGTAACTTCTTAATGTGTAAATGCAATTTCTTAATTTGTTAACGTATTTTCTTCGTTCGTTACATAAAATTCTACATTTCATAATTTGTGAAATGTAATTTTTTTGTTTGAGTCACATTTTGGGAGAATGTGTCAGTGTAATTGTTACTGCTGCCAGCCAATGAGAAGTTCCGTTTCTCAAGAAAAACTACAAGTTAGAAATCAACAAGTCACAAATCAAGAAGTTTTACAAATCAAGAAGTTTTACAAATCAAGAATGAAATAGTTCCACAATATTCCACACGAGGTCGTTGTGGATCCATGTCAACTCGTACCATAGCCAACTCGTACCCAATATTTACCACCTCGTACTTCTTCCAACTCGTACTTTTACCAACTTGAACCCAATATTTTATTATTTATTCGCATTAAAGCGTTCATGTTCTTTTATATGATATACAAAGTACAATAAAGTACAACTTTATTGATTGGTAATCTGATGCAATTTGTTTTCAAATCAGAAATATCTAAAGTTAATCATTCGTCTTCAGAAGTAAGTGATTATATTGTAAGTGAAGTCTATTCAGTAAATATATCTAAGTAATGAATGCATGTCTATATTAAGAAAAAAGCCCATTTCTGATTTCAAATTGTAGTATTTTCAATGATTTATAAAAATTCCTAATAATGTCAGGGATTTTACAAAGTCACTGCAACTGCTAAGAATTTTACAAAATCACTATATATTTCAGGGATTTTACAAATTCACTAATATATACATTAGATTATTACACACAATGACTTTAGTGTATACGTGCTGTCCATTTACTTTAATTTTCCGCTGCCAGTCTGGTAGAGTAGTAGCATGGATACACTACAGTTATTTTAAGATTTTTGGTGTTAGAGATCAAGGAGAACACCTAAAAAAATATTGAAATATTAAGGAACATTAAAACAAGATCTTATTCACCACAAAAAAGGAAAAATGGAAATGGGAACCTATGCCATGAATGCAAGTGAATTGAAATCAGAAAATAGATATATTTACTGTGATGATATCAGATTGAAGTTGTTAATTGTTTCCTTGGCAACATCTATCTATGTTTCTACAATAAAGTTTATAAACAACTGTAGGTATTCCAAACTACTTCAATTTCGCCCATTAAATAGCAGACCAGTCCCTGTATTTTTTTTTTATCAATAACAATTTACAACCAAACTCAGTAAAGATTCCACTAAGTTCCATTCAACTGAAAAAATGAGAACACTAATCGCTACCTTGTTGATACTTTTGTTTTAGATAATCAAGAATTCTCTTATAACACTGTCAACAAAATTTGCCATAATTGTATTTGTATTATACAATTAATTATGTGGTAGGTTCTGTCTGTCATTGTTTTTCGTTCATTGTAGTATAAATCAGACCTTTAGTTTCCCCCTGTTTAATTGTTTCACATGTTGCACCCTCCGGCCTTTCAAAGCTTAGTATTCAGTATGAATTTTGTTCATTGTAAAAGGTCGTGTAATGATCAGTATATACGTTGTTGTTCAACATCCTTGACCTTTGTTAATAATTGGTTGATAGTTGTCTCATTTTATATCTCATTATTTTTGTATCATGTTTTCATTGGATTTTTTCTTGATTTCTTGGTATATTGTCAATGAAAATGTGTAAAAATATAAATCAGGACCAGTTTAAACAAGGAAAAAAAAAAAAGATTCGAAAATGCAGTGACAAAAATGCACCTAAAAATCAACCAGTTACTCCCTTATTTTGTATTGAATAAATAAATATATATGAACATCAAGTAACAGAATTATTTAACAATCATTTCTCTTTTAACAATTATTTTGGTTACAACTTTCAAATGGTTTCGATTTCCTGGTCACGGATTTCCTCATAATTCAAAATTTCCTGTTAATTATTAATTATTTGTGCCCTAACATCTATTTTTATAATCTTTTCACTTCAAACAGGAAATTTATGGTGATCTAACTCGTCGACATACACATTTTTAGGTTGGAATGAACAAATATTTTTCTGAAAAAAACAGAGTTTGGCATCAATCTTCTAGGCTGTTCTACGACGAGTATTTTGATATTCAGGGACCTACTTAATATTACTATCTCAAAAAGGTAAGTGTATTGTTTGAATAATTATATCCTACAACGTGTGGTAAGTTGCATTCCCGGGAAATTCATGATAAGAAGGAATTTCGATGCAATAATTTATAATTTTACATGAAAAGGATGAAGACATAAAATTTCTATGTATATTGACGTATCTATATTACTGAGTCAAAGAGTGACCTTTATCTCGAATTTATTTAATTGGGTCTTTCCACTTTTTCGTGGAAAGACCTTTTGATTTTTTCCTGTTTACTTTTGTTTTCTTTCATCCAAATTTGTTTCTTGCGCTATTTGGTTGTTTCGCAAGATGTCGCTGAAATATTTAAGTATATTATATCAAACATTTTATACGCTTTTGAAGCGTTATCTTCACAAACACTGGTTTTCTTGTGTGTACTACTCCTTCGCAACCGTAAAAGATAACGACAAAATTATTTTCCCAAATTGCTCGTTATATACTCAGGATGTCAAAAAATTATTTTGACCAAAGCGATCGGGAGATTCCATATGAGAGTTATTTTCCTTTATGTATGAGACATAAGTGAAATGTAATAATAACTCGTAAACCATAAGTAATAGAGACAAGGGTCTTTTGATTTGATGTCCTAGGTCCACCAAAATAAAAATGGGGTGAAGGTCAAATGTCAACGTCATATTCTTTTATTTACTTTAAATTTGCTAATGTTTGTTACTACTCAGAAACCGTATATGATATTGACAAACTATATTTACTTAATTGCTAGTTGCGACATGTCGTAACATACAAATATTGGTTGAAGGGATACGTTGACGTTTAAATGGAGTTTTCTCCCCTCTAATGTTTAAAATTAACTGTATGGTGATAGAACTTATTAACCATATATAGCAGAGACCTAGAATCTTTTGATTTGAGGCCCATGCTTTATGGCCTTGAAATTGAGGTCAAGGTGAAAGTTAAATTTGACGTTCAATATTTTGACCTTTGTTCTTAATTCATATATGAACATGATAAAGTCATAGGGTCTTTTACATTAGGTTGCAGAAATATGACCTTGAAAAAGGTCAACTCAAAGTGACCTTCTTGTGAACCGACAGTAGAATTTTTGGGCACGAATTTCGTTCCTTCAATAGAAATACAAAAATTGAGGTGCAAAAAGTGACTAAACTTGCAATATCCATGTATATATCTTTCATACCGTACAATTCGAGGTACTGAAGGTCATAATTTTGCTGTGCATATTTAGTTATTTCTCCATTAATCCAGAACGGTTGTAGAAAAAAAATACATCTCACAATCGAAAATAGTAATTATATGTACATTTATATTCTTCAATTCCATACAAATAACAAAAAAGTAAACAGAAATCCTACCTTTTAGTAATAGTAAAAGTTCAATGGTAAGTTAATATTGATATTAAAAGACCTCCGAACAAAAAGGGATGTTCAGATCCCCGAGCACGAAGGGCGAAGGGATTTGAACAGCCCTTTTTGTGAGGAGGTCTTTTAATGTCAATATTAACTTAATCATTGAACTTTTACTGACTTACAAACCATCAAAAACATAAGAAAAGTACACAAAAAGCACTTGCAGAAACCTAATTCCCCTGAATTGGACGAATCTTAAGATGTTCAACTTAATTGATAGTTAAACAGTACTCAGACTGATATGTACAATTAACAGTTACCAAATTGCAATGGAAACGGACGGATTAAATGGCAGTACATCATTTAATTATTTGTTAGCATTAAAATAACACCAAATGATAGTTTTACAAACTTAGGGGGTAAATTCATATTTTTGAATCCAACTTTTCGAAATAACGATTTCTTATTTAATAAATGAGGCAATCAAAACCCTATACAGACCTCATTTATAACTGACCAATAAATATTCTGCACAACAACGTCTTGTTATATATATTTGATGTTTTTAATCTGTCAGTAATCATGAAAACAGTAAGTAAATTCTTCCGACAATTAACTTTTTAAACTGATTGTTTCAGAACTTCTAATCGAACAGACCTAGATGTATAAGGCCCTTCACAATATTCATCCGGTAAATGTTAATTTATTTTTGATTCTGTAATTTTCCAACACTACGTAACATGCGAATGCAAAATAATTAGTGGTGTCTGTTCAGTCCAATCAATTAATAGATCTTAGTTTATTTTTTGTTAAATAAAAACTATGCATGCAAACTTCAATGAATAAAATCGTATTAAAAAACCTAATTGTAACATATATAGCATCAACTAGGTTTCACTGGTCAGATCAAAACGTGTTGAGTTGAGATATTTTCGGAAGTTCAATGTATTATATGAAAACAAATTAAATGAAGCAAAAACACCTGAAAAAACTTTTACATTTCTTAGTTTGATCCTTATCATATTTTATAAATCGTATTAAAACATTAGATAAGAAGCATAGTTTAAAAGTATTTAAAACTTTTTTATAAGCAGTCAGTAATGTAATAAATTGAAGGAAAAAAAAACAAAAAATCCCATAAAAATTTCAATGGAAATTTTACATTATAGCATTTTACAAGATCTTGTCTTTGTGTGCTAAGTACATGGAACAATTTATGAAGTTGATTGGTTTTTGTTTGCTTTACGTCCAGTGGCAAATATTTCATGCATGTACATCACTATAACAAATAGATTTAAATACAATGGGTAGGTCGTGCAATAGGAGGTCAACAGTGAGGTTGGACGTGAAACTTTAAAATGCCACTGGAAAATGAGGGTATATTGAATAAGGACAAAAATTTAGACTTGCAACAGCTGGCCACATTTGGACCACTCAAATAATTGGTGCAAGAGTTTTTAATTTGCCGAGAGCGTTGATCCATGAAATCTTCTCTGAAGTCGATCATCGATGTTTACGTGTAGTTTGAAATATCATTTCACACATCCAATTTAGGTTCGATACTTTTAGCTCGCTTAAGTAACTGCATGTGAGAATTCAGAAGATGTGGTATGAGTGTGTAACTGTTTTGTTTATTGTACTTGATTTTTTGGGTATGATATTCTGTACTACCGCTCTCCTGGTTGGTCTTGCGTGAGGGTGTTCGTCTCGAGAGCGGGAGGTCGTTTGTTCGAATCACGACCGGGCCAAACAAAGACGTTAAAATTGGTATTTGCTATTTCAACGATAAACACCCGGCATCATAGAGTAAGAGCACAGACTGGTCGGCTCAGAGTGGGAAATGTGTCCGGGTCGGGTAAATTTTCTTACTGCGAACTAATATCTTGTAAAATTACACGTTAAAAACAAACCACTCAGCGTGTCAGTCTAGTAAAAAGCGGGGTTTATTTGCCGCTGGTCGTCATCCATTATTATCATCATTCATTTACCTTTATATTATACAGTGAAGTGTTTTTCTTCTACTGGTTTATGGTACAACTTCTTATATTTTCACCGATCAAAATTAAAATTTGGCAGGTGAAATTTTTCAACCAAACACTTCTTGTGATTGTTGGGATACCCTTGACGGTAAATAATATTAAATCAAATGTGCCTTTTGGGATATATAATATTTGACGGTAAATATTATTGAATTAACTCCGTATAACTATTATTTAATCATGGGGCGGTTTTGAGCTTTTTATTCTGTATACGCATCTTTCTATAAAAACTGAATGTTGAATCTTAATGTTTTGATCTGTCTGTGTCTTTGGGTTGCTGTCACATTAATGTATATCTTTATATACTTTTATTCAAAACAAAATGATTCACTTGGGTATAGAGATATTGACATGTCTGGACCTCTCCCGTCCCACAGTATACCCTTGCCTTGGGTGCGTTCGTTTGGCTTATCGGATATATAAATGCGCAGCTTTGTCTGATCGAAATAGGAATGTATTTCCGATGACTGGTGTAGTGGGAATTTCACGCTACCTATACGTTAAAAACATTAAAGGGAAATACGATCTACGCACGAGTTGAATGATTGAAATGTGTTAACAACAAGAAAGATCGGCTAAATCTTTTCAAATAAGTCGCATGGCTGATTTTACCACACTTTTGCCAGGACAATTGTAGATGAAATTTTTTTAACAAAACCGATTAGCAAGACAATAACTAAAAAAAAATAAATGAAACGCTCAAAATAAGTTGAAGCCTTATATAAATTAATGTCAACATTTTTTTTCATCCATTTTTGCTTTTATGTCAACTATTATACCAGTCTGAGATATAAATAAACTTTAAACAGCAAATGTTGTCACCTAGACGAGACAGTCGTCATTGTACGCTTCAATATAAGAGTTATTGCCACTCAATGAAGATTGTTTTTCTTTTCTAATCCCCTCTCCTATTAGGTTAGCTAGAAAGGATACAATGTAACCCCTGATGTGTACTACGACAACGTTTTTTAATGTTAAAAAAAAATTAAATGCAAAGAGAAAAATGATGGAAGAAATGCTAAGATTTACGCTTAAAAATGCAAATGTAAATAAATTGAAATATATAAAATTAGGAAAACTGTTAGAGACAATTATCAACTGAAGACAAATGATTATACATCACTAAATGAAGCTGATAAATTAATTGTTCCATTAATGTCCAGTGGCAAATATGTCATGCATATTCACGACGAGTGGATCAACCCGAAGCAAATGATTACAATTTTAGAGTGGCACTTTTTACAATAAGGCAGAGCGTTCGATTGAGGTAAAACGTATGCCGTAATAGAATACAGTTGAACCATGGTCGAAGTCGTAAGTTTGAGCTATTTACCCTCCTTCCCTTTTTTTTCTTCCACGGTAGACGAATGTCAAAAACAAAACGTCATGAATTTACAATCAATAACGGCCACTATAAGTAAATGAGATATATGAACGTTTTTGTAAATAAATTCCTATTGCAGCCAGCATCTCCCGGTTCGAGACAGGTTAGTATTTCCACTAAAATACCGTTTGATTATTGACCGAAGATATTAAAGCAACCAAAAGCACGTTGAATAAAAAAAAATCTAAAATTGTAAATTATGGTATTTTGCTGGGTGTTTTCCCGATCCTATTTCGGACCCCCTGATTTTAAGAGGGCGTATCTAATTAGTCATGCCCGATTAACTTTTAGTAAATTGAACCTCAACTTAAAGACCTACACCGGGTAAATAAGTTCGAGGTACAATAAGTAGACAATAGAAATCCTTTGTGAAATGAGATCGTCCCAGGTCTCTTAGATAATTATTTTGCGTTGAATAACAATGAAAAATGCACGAGCAGGTTTGTAAGCAGTCTGTAAATGGTCCGTCAACGTGCTGGATATTAGATACCATCGAGTCAAAACATGTTTAGCCGGAGTAGAAAAGTATAACAAAAGTACCGAACTCCAAGGCAAATTCGAAAGGGGAAGTCAATAAAAACTGACAAAATTAAAATTAAATATATCACTAACAGTTTTTATTTCACTTTTGAAAAAAGAAGAAAAAAATAAAGATCTGCACTGAAATAAAATATTTGAGTTTCCAAATAATCGCAGTTTCATTGCATCTTTTTTGTTTGTCATAACCTGTGTGATCCCTTGCAATTTTAACCAAGATTACAGAGTGCTTTGATAATAATTTGGGAATATTTCAAATCAAGACTTGAAAGGTCCGAACATCTACAAATTTTCTAATTCTTTTTTAACCAAAATTAACCTATTGCGTTTCAAAAAGTCATTGGTTTGTACAATTTAGAAAATAAAGATATTATATATGGATTTTTCATCCAACTATTCAAATTTACCATCCCAATGCCCCCTTTTTAACATTTAAACAGCATATCTTTTGGTCTACTTGATTCTTTTTGTGTAAATGTATTTTATGTTTCATCGTACTGCTGTGTCATCTAATGTCTAAAACACAATTTATTAATATTTCCCAAATCATAAGAAATTCCATACACCATTAAGATTAATCCATAAATGAACTGCCTTAAAAGGAAACAAACATTACACTGCACTGCACCAATTCTTGATTAAAACCAGTCAAGAGGTCATTTGAGCCTTCAGCACTTTACAATATGATAAGTTTGTAAGAGAATGCTAACGCTCATCATAAAGAAAGGATTATCATTCTCTTACACTTGTTCATTTAGTATTTCGTCTATTTTGTTTTTAAAACCTAATTGTTTCAAAACATTTTAACATTTTGTGAACAGTAAATTTACAGAAAATGTTATGAAAACACGTCATCTTTGTATTGACTTCAGATTTTTAATTGATCACGTTTACAGCATATTGAAACAGGAGGAGCAAAAACTAATTAATCAAAAGATAAAAGATGACAAGGGAAAATAATCTGAAGCTAAAAGAAATACCCCACACAAATGGATATGAATAAAGTAAATATAATGCAGATCGGAAGGCTAGTTGAAAAGTTGGAATAAGAATTAGGTAATACAATTGTTTTTCCTATTTGGAAGCTATTATACCCATTTGATGATGATGTTGGTTTTTTTTTCCTTTTTAGAAGTTCAAAATATATCGTCAACGGTTACAAAAGATGGCTTTGTCTAAAGTAGCTGCTGTGCCATCACTAACAGAAGAAGAGACCAACTTCCTCAGATTCGCTAATCTTCTTATTCGTATTTCACCAAAAGCTGTTCGGGTTGTATTTGATAAGTATTTCCAACCTTGCGGATTGAATGTTGTGCTGAATCAGTCAAAAGGAAAACTGGAAGTTCTGAATCAGAGAAAAATTCTGAACAAGTCGCAGATGGATTTACTTTATCCTTCGCAAGGTATGAAACAAATCTTTAAACAATATTATGTTCTATTAACACTGGTTTACTTTTTTCCATAACCGTCACATTTTTGTAAACTAAAAATGTCACAAATTGATGAAGTTTATAGTCATCAATAAATAAATAAGTGATGAAAATAACGTAAAATAACACTTGTTGTTTACGATATGTATACTTTTTGTACGATCTAAAAGAATGAATATACGTTAAAATTATTACTATAATAGACTTCAAAGTAGCTGGGGTGTCTAAATGTTCGACGATAGATTTTTCTTAAACTTCTTCAAAAGATTTCTGGTCAATATTCTTTTGAATTTCAATAAAAATAAAATGCTTCGCTGGGCGCAGCTTGATACGACCGCAGAGGTCGAACCCTGAACAGTTGGGGCAAGTATGGACACAACATTCAAGCTTGATAGAGCTCTGAATTTGGATTGTGATTAAATATTTGACACAGCATAGGTTTCTGACACAGAAAGAATGTGGTCTAAGAACTTCAATTTTTTTAATTTACCTATTATGGTCCAATGTCCAAAATCAAAATACATGGTTAAATTCAGCATATCAAAGAACCCCATATATTCAATTTTTGTTGAAATCAAACAAAGTTTAATTTTGGACCCCAACTTGGACAAACTTGAAAACTGGTCCCATAATCAAAAATCTAAACACATGTTTAGATTCAGCATATCAAAGTACCCGAAGAATTCAATTTTTGTTAAAATCAAACTAAGTTTAATTTTGGACCCTTTGGACCTTAATGTAGACAAATTTAAAAAATGGGACCCAAAATTAAAAATCTAAAAACATGGTTAGATTTGGCATATCAAAGAACCCCAATAATTCAATTTTTGATGAAATCAAACAAAGTTTAATTTTGGACCCTTTTGACCTCAATATGAACCAATTTGATAGCGGGCCCACAAATAAAAAATCTAAATACATGGTAAGATTCAGCATATCAAAGAACCCCATATATTCAATTTTTGTTGAAATCAAACAAAGTTTAATTTTGGACCCCAATTTGGAACAACTTGAAAACTGGGCCAAAAATCTAAAATCTAAATACATGTTTAGATTCAGCATATCAAAGAACCCCATATATTCAATTTTTGTTGAAATCAAACAAAGTTTAATTTTGGACCCCAACTTGGACCAACTTGAAAACTGGTCCCATAATCAAAAATCTAAACACATGTTTAGATTCAGCATATCAAAGAACCCAAAAAATTCAATTTTTGTTAAAATCAAACTAAGTTTAATTTTGGACCCTTTGGACCTTAATGTAGACCAATTTAAAAAACAGGACCCAAAATTAAAAATCTAAATACACGGTTAGATTTGGCATATCAAAGAACCCCAATAATTAAATTTTTGATGAAATCAAACAAAGTTTAATTTTGGACCCTTTTGACCTCAATATGAACCAATTTGATAGCGGGCCCACAAATAAAAAATCTAAATACATGGTAAGATTCAGCATATCAAAGAACCCCATATATTCAATTTTTGTTGAAATCAAACAAAGTTTAATTTTGGACCCCAATTTGGACCAACTTGAAAACTGGGCCAAAAATCTAAAATCTAAATACATGTTTAGATTCAGCATATCAAAGAACCCCATATATTCAATTTTTGTTGAAATCAAACAAAGTTTAATTTTGGACCCCAACTTGGACCAACTTGAAAACTGGGCCCATAATCAAAAATCTAAACACATGTTTAGATTCAGCATATCAAAGAACCCTAAGAATTCAATTTTTGTTAAAATCAAACTAAGTTTAATTTTGGACCCTTTGGACCTTAATGTAGACCAATTTAAAAAACGGGACCCAAAATTAAAAATCTAAATACACGGTTAGATTCGGCATATCAAAGAATCCCAATAATTCAATTTTTGATGAAATCAAACAAAGTTTAATTTTGGACCCTTTGGACCTCAATGTGGACCAATTTAAAAACAGGGCCCAAAATCCAAAAACTTAATACACGGTTATATTCAGCATATTAATGAACCCCAAGAATTCAAGAATAAAACCCCATTGAAATTGATCAAGAAATAAGCAATTTATACGAAGTATCTTCTTTTGCACAATACTGTGCAATTGAATATTTCTTGCTATTGCGCAATACTGTACAATTGACAATTTCTTGCTATTGCGCAATATTGTGCTATTGGATATTTCTTGCTATGGCGCAATACTGTTAAATTGAAGATTTCTTGCTATTGCGCAATACTGTGCAATTGAAGATTTCTTGCTATTGTGCAATACTGTGCAATTGAAAATTTCTTGCTATTGCACAATACTTATTATATAATAATTTACACATCCTGTTTGGTGTGTATCTCCTACCATATCATTACTATTTGCTTTTAAATATAAATCAGAAATAACCAACTTAAAATGGAAAATTTTAAAAGAAAAAAAAAAAGGAAAAAAAGAAAAAAAAAAATCCCCCCCCCCAAATTTTTTGAACCCCCTTATGATTCATCACCCCCAAACTCAATCCCAGCCTTCCCTTTGTGGTATGGTACCTTGCAGTACAATTTCAGAGAGATCCATACACTTGAACACAAGTTATTGTCTGGAAACTAGAAAAATGCTAATTTTTGGCCCCTTTTTGGCCCCCAATTCCTAAACGTTTCGGGCAATTACCCCCAAACTCAACTCCAGCTTTCCCTTTGTGATATGGAACCTTGTAGTACAATTTCAGAAATATCCAAACACTTACACACAAGTTATTGTCATGAAACTAGAAAAATGCTTGTTTTTTGCCCCTTTTTTGGCCCCTAATTCCTAAAATTTTGAGGCAATTACCCCCAAAATCAATTACAGCCTTCCCTTTGTGATATGGAACCTTGTGGTACAATGTCAGAGAGATCCATACACTTACACACAAGTTATTGTCTGAAAGTTACAAAAATGCTTATTTTTGGCCCCTTTTTGGCCCCTAATTCCTTAACTGTTGGTACCATAACCCCCAAAATCAATCCCAACCTTCCTTTCGTGGTATTGAACCTTATGGTGAAATTTCATGGAGATCCATTCACTTAAACTAAAGTTAGAGTGCGAAAACCAATGTGTCTTCGGACGACGCCAGACGACGCCGGACGACTACGACGACGACGACGACGACGACGACGACGACGACGCCAACGTCATACCAATATACGACCAAAAAATTTTTAATTTTTGCGGTCGTATAAAAAACTGGGGTCACGGACCTAGTTTGTTTCGTTAAAATACATTGAAATTAACGAATCACAGTTATTTTATATATGGTTCTCGTTTTTTATATAGATTAGACCGTTGGTTTCCCTGTTTGAATTGTTTTACACTAGTCATTTTGGGGCCCTTTATAGCTTGATGGTCGGTGTGAGCCAAGGGTTCGTGTTGAAGGCCTTACTTTGACCTATAATTGTTTACTTTTTATACATTGTGACTTGGATGGAGAGATGTCTCATTGGCACTCATACCACATCTTCTTATTTATATTCATAGGGGAAACTTAATTTTTACTTGTTGAGAAAACATTAAACGATACAATTGGTTAAACTCCAATGAGAGAATTGCTTTTCATAGATACTTCCTAAACACCAAATAAAAATATGGGGTCATGGGCCTTATTTTGTTGCAAAATAAAAAAAAACACAAATTGTCTGATCAAATTCAGTATGATTATCTACCCTTGATTTTGAAAGGAGTTTTTCTTAAAATAAAAAAAAATAACTTAATTAATAACTACATTTAAATTTTGTATTGTTTAATCTTTAAATTTCAAGTTTAAGTTGTTTCTCTGGTATATTGAATGACATTTGGTAAAATAGTTTTAAACCAAAAAGAATAGTTTTGCCATATGCCCAGAACAGATGCTCAGAAAAAGACGCCCGATCTACCTTAACTATGACGAGGTCGGTACTGCTGATTCAGAAGGTGAACTTCTAGTTCCCAAGGTACCACCCAACAAGTAGCCAATGTCTGGGTAAAGACAGACTGTCCTCATGGAAAGAAGTATAACACAAATACCAAACTCCAAGGCAAATTAAAAAAAGAAAGTATCAATCAATTAAAAATTTAAAACAACTGTCATATTCCTGACTTGGTACAGGCATTTTCCGACGAAAATGGTTGTTGGACTTGAAAATAGTTCGATAATCTGTTTAACATTCCGGATTTTTTTCTATTATTTTTGTTTCGGGTTTCAATCTTTTGAAGGTTATTCCAGAAACATTTGTTGACAGAACGGAAATCCTATCAAACGTTTTTTCCATCCATGGATCACTACCGCTGAATATTATTCCCCGTTAGTACCATAATGATACCATATACTTTGAACTACAACTGTGTTGGATGTATTATACGTTTTCATAACCACGGTTGATCGATTATGTCATACTACCACTTTAACACATGACAAACTGTGCTATAATCTGCATAATGTAAGCTAAGGTGTGGATTGAATTCCTCAGACATACTGCAAAGTTTAAATGTACTCTTACCTATGAAGGTGGATCAAGGACTTTTCAAAAGGATTGCGTAATACTATAAAACGGAAGAAAACCGCCGTGTTTTACGATTTTATGCTAAACAATTATTAAATTTCCAATCAAAAGGGAGGCGTACCCTCTCCTCTTCTTCCCGAATCCGCCATTGCCTTGCAATTTCGACATAGTTGACCCATTAACAACTTTGTACACACTTCATCATCGTTTCAAAATATGAAATAGAAAGTGTTTCTCATTCCTTAAACTGGGAACATTTATGATATTTTGTGTTAAATCAGTATTTCAAAATGAAACAAGTTAATAATTTCTTTTTATAATTTCTTCCAACAAATGATTGTATTTTAGAATAGCCAAATAATTGAAATCTGATAGGGATCAGTTTTGTGCTCAATTATATTTAATAGGCCTGACTTTTAAATATTTATTCCTTTTTGGTGACTGCTTTTGGTATCGAATTTAATGAGGTTAAAAAATTCATATTCAAGTATGT